CGATATCGGAGGAGCGCCAATCGCCCGTGATGACACCCTGCGTCGGCTCGAGCGTGCACGCACCCAGCCCCTGCCGGACGAGCAGGAGCAGCTCGTATCTCCCTCGCCAGCCGCGCCGGGACATCGGAAACGTGTTTTCGGCGCGCAGCGTGGCTCTCGCTGTCGGCGGTGGGAGCACGTGCAGCGGGACTTGACGGCTTGCTAGCGTTGCCATTTTGTTGTATTCCCTCAGCACGCAGGCGCCAGCCCGATCTCGGACATCCTATGCCCACTCTTTCGGCACCTCCGAAATAAAAAACGAATAGTCTGGATGTGCGGTTGCCGACTGCACTCCAAGTGCTCCAAGTGCTCCAAGTTACAGGGGCGAGAATCAATCTTTCTCGACTGCCTTATCTCATGCTCTGACAGTGCAGGCTCTGGAAATAAAATTAAAAAGAATTCTTTGGACTTTGCGCATCGCTCCCGTCTCTCCGCTCTCGCGTCTCGGGACTCGGCCTCGACGGGACGTCGAGACGCTCGTCGTACGTCGCGGAGCTACGAGGTACGACTACGTCTACGAGCTCGACCGCCACGTGGTGCCACGTCGCGACGATGATCCCAACGCGAAAGTCACTCTGTTACAGTAAGTAGATTACAACCGCGGACCAACGATCAACGGCTCCGCTCCCCATGCCGCTCCCTCCACTCTCGCGCGCAGCAGTGCCACAGACTCACACGCCCATCCACCACACGCAGTCGTCTCACACGCAGGCAGTCGTCTCACGCGCGGCGCCCCCCGCCCCCTCACGCCTCCGTGCGGCCTCCGCGTCAGCACCGTATCCATCACACGAGAAGAGCGAGGGCGAGAAGGAGGGTGGCATCGCCCGAGCCGCTAGTATTAGTTGCCGGCCTCGTACTTGGAGAGCACGAGCTTGACGTCGCGCGGCGAGCCGAGGATGACGGGGCAGCGGTCGTGGATGCTGCCGGGCACGAGGTCGAGCATGCGCTGCACCTTGCCCTGGAAGAGGCCGGTGGAGCCGATGCCGCCCGCCGTCTCGACAATGAGCGCCATCGGGAAGCCCTCGTAGAGGACGCGCAGCTTCCCCTGCGAACGCCGCGACGGGCGGCTCGCGGGCGGAGCTGGCCTTGGAGGCCGTGAAGGCGGTGGCGGCGCGCGAGCGCAGGCAACGCGCAGTGGCGGGCGGGCGGGCGGTGTCTCTTGTGCGCGGGGCGGCGACGGGGGCGGGGGCGCGGCGGGGCGCGCCTTGGCCGACTTCTTGTCGGCCGGGTAGATGTAGATGCCGCCGTAGAGGATGGTGCGGTGCACGTCGCTCACCATCGAGCCGACGTACCGCGCCGAGTAGCCCTCCGCCTAATCTCGGACAATCTCGGGTGACCTCGGCAAACCTCGGTGAGCAGGTCGAAGGAAGCCTCCGCTCCGCCTTGAACTGCGCGACTGCGTCGAGGATGGGCGCGTCCCAGTTGCAAGAGTTGCCCTCGTTGCACGAATAGATCTTCTTGCCGCCGCCCGGCGGGATCTTGACGGCCGTGTGCGTGTGGATGAACTCGCCGAGCGACGGGTCGAGCGAGAAGCGCTCGACGCCTGCCCTCGCAGCGACGGGGGCATCACGCAAGGGAGCGTCGTGGTGCGACGCGGCGCGCAGAGCGGCGAAAGGCGCGGCGGGCAGCGGCGCGCGCCCGCGTCGTTGGACCGGAAGCAGAGCACCAGCTCGGTGGCGGCGCCGTACATGCAGTAGCCTGCCACGACGATGTCGGTGCCGGTGCGCAGAATGTCCGCCTCCGACGAGTCCTGCGGCGGAGCGCGGGCCACGGCGATGAGCGGGCGGGAGGCTGAGGGTGCGCCTCGGTGCAGTGTCGACAGTGCGAGACGCGGCGTGTGTGAGCGGGGGTCTCGGAGGGCGCATCTCGCGCGGCGTGTCGTTCCTTGGAGTCGGGGTGCAGCTTCTCGTAGACGGCAAAGATTGTGCCTGCGGGTGGAATGCCTGGCCGGGTGCCGCGGCGCCTTTCCGGGGAGCTGCTCGCGGCGGCTGGGGGAGGGCGCCGGTCGAGACGTTGCAGTCGATGTTGGAGGAGCCGTCGAGCGGGTCGAAGGCGACGCAGAAGCGGCCCGCCTTCTCCTCGGGCACGATGATGGCTTCGTCGCGCTCCTCCGACACGAGCACCGCGCAAGCGCCCGAGTTGATCAGCGCCTGAGGCGGGCGCGGGAGGGCGCGGCGTGCGCGGCGGGCGCGTGGGCGGGAGGAGAGGGGGAGCTGAGTGCGCCACGCGGACTCCCCGGCCAGCGGGTGGGTGCAGGGCCGGTGGCGCGGCCGATGCGAGCGAGCAGAGGCGGCTCCGAAAGCACCGAAACGAAGATCTCGTCGGAGAGGACGTCGAGCTTCTTCTGGTCGTCCCCAGTCGAGTTGACCTGCGACGTCGCGGCGCCACGCTGAGCTCCTTCCTCGCCCACCGGCCGCTAGCTTCGCCACGCCACCGGCGCCGGCGCTGTGCACCGCGACTAAGCGGCGTCTCACCTCGCCCGCCAGGCCAAAGAGGCCCGCGATGCCCGCCTTGGCGCACGCGCGCGAGGTGGCCTTGCACGCCAGGCCGAGCTGCGCCATGAGCACCGTCAGCTGCGCGGCAGCGGCGGGAGGAGTCAGAGGCAGAGCCACCGGGTGGCGGGCGGCGGCGGGAGCGACGGGCGGCAGGCGGGCAGTGAGTGGCTGTGGGTCGCGAGCGAGAGCCATGTGTGTGGCTGCGAGGTGCGCGTGTGCCCACGCATGCGGCTCGGCGCGCCTCTTTATCGCTCGTGTTCTCCATGAGCCAGCGGCCAAGATTCATGAAGTCTTGTTCGGCCGAGACATCTTCGACTGAGCCGCGCGTCGTTCTCGCCTCTGGCATGCTGCTGGGTCTCCGAAGGTGCAGCCTGCGGTGCGTACGCAGACCGGGGAGCTGTGATCGGCGCCAGGATCGCCGGGCGAGCCGGGCGAGGGATGGAATGGCTCACAGCCCGGCGAGGGAACCTTTTGTAAGCTACGTCTGAGGTCTCGGCATGAGCAAGAAAAAGTAAAGCGTGCGCTCATCCAAGAAAGGCAACCTGCCGCACTTGACGTACCGAGCGAAGGGCCGAGCGGAAGGAGGACGGGGAAGATGACTCAGAGGAGGACGAACCAGTGGAAATTCAGTTGTCAGATGTCACGATGCATCCGAAGGGGACCCCAGCGCCGGCATCATCCGTAGAGGCACGAGTGTTCGAAGAGAGAGTGGACCTGAGCAACAACATGACGTGTAGGCAAATGATCGGAGTGGGAGTCAGAAATGTGGTCCTTGCGCGAGGGGAGCTTGATAGACTCGAGGGGCCAGGATACGCCGCGAGGAGGACGGAGTTGCGCAAGGCGAAATTTCTTGAGCACTTACTTGATAGGGTCGATTCCGCATGGTACGGCCGGAGCTAAGAAACCACGGCGTGGGGTGGGTGAGGGCTGTGGAAAGGCTTAGAAACGGCGGCGTTTTCTTAATGCCCGCAAGCCACTGTGGGTGGGGGTGTGAATAGGAGTAACAAACCACAGATATTGCAACAGGACCCCACGATGACGATGACGCCTCGCTTCAGCCCGCTAGCTCGCCGTGGTATCATCACCGGCCCCCGCTTCACGCCAATCGTGCAGGCCTTGCCGTCTATCGTGCCCTTTGTCGCGCCCGAGGAGATTGAGCGCTCGCGCGGCCGGCGCTTTGCGGTGCGACTGGGCGCAAACGAGCTCACGTTCGGGCCCTCCGAGAAGGCCGTGCGAGCCATGGCGGAGGCATCGAGCTCGGCGTGGATGTACGGCGACCCCAAATCCTACGAGCTGCGCGCGGCCCTTGCCGACCAGCACGGAGTCGACCCGCTCAACATCGTGGTTGGTGAGGGAGTGGACGGGCTCCTGGCGTACACAGCTCACCTCCTGATTGCGCCGGGCGACGCTCTGGTCACGACCCGCGGGACCTACCCGACTTTGAACTATTTCGTAGCCGGGCGCGGAGGCCACCTGCACACTGTGCCCTACGGCGACGACGACCGGCAGGACCTGGACGCGCTGCTGGCCAAGGCGTGGGAGGTGGATGCGAAGGTGCTCTACCTCGTGAATCCGGACAACCCCAGCGGCACGTGGCACCCTGCCGAGCGCATCGAGCAGCTCGTCGAGGGCCTCCCTCCCGGCTGCCTGCTGCTCGTGGACGAGGCGTACCACGAGCTCGGCGTCGACTTCGACGCGAACGCGCACGTCGCAGTCGACGACCTGCGTGTGCTGCGCCTGCGCACCTTCTCCAAGGGGTACGGACTCGCGGGCTGCCGGATTGGGTACGCGCTCGGCGCACCGGACATCATCTCCGCGTTTGACAAGGTGCGCAACCACTTTGGCATCGGCAGGGTGAGCCAGGCGGGGGCGCTCGCCGCGCTCCAGGACCAGCCGCACCTCCACTCGCTGCGAGGGAGGGTTGCCCACGCCCGAGCCACTCTGGGGGGCATCGCGGACGAGCACGGGCTGGCAGCCTTGCCCAGCGCAACCAACTTCGTCACCATCGACTGCGGCAGGGACGGCGCCTTTGCGCGGCTCATTCTCGCCGAGCTCCTCGAGCGCGACATCTTTGTGCGCATGCCTGGGGCGGCGCCGTTGGATCGGTGCATCCGCGTATCGTGCAGCGACGACACCGACCTCGCAGTCTTCCGTGCCGCCCTCCCGGCTGCCCTCGAGGCCGCGCACTCGAAAATGTCCCCGCCAGGCGCGTGTAAAGTGTATAAAGACTAAAAGTGTGAGGAGAGGGGCGGTCCTCGTGTAAACAAATATCGACATGGAACGCAGAACCGCAGGGGGCACACACACATGGACATGGACACGTCACACACGAGTCGCGATGTTCACATGAAAAACGCGACGGACACGAGGGCTGCAAGGCGGCGCACAGTGATCAGATGTGATCAGTGTCTCGCCTTCGACGCCGGCTACGGCACCGGCTTGAGCAGCCGCGCTGCCTCGCCGTCGACGATGGGCTTCGGCCGCGCGCTCAGGGCGGCGCGGGCTCTCGCGTACCAAAAGGAGCCGACCAGGGAGAGCGCCATGCCCACGGCGGCCGAGAGCGACGTCCGCTCGCCGAGCGCGACGGCGCCATACAGGATGACGATGAGCTTGTTCGCGTTGGTGAGCACCATGAAAGTGGTCGCCGTCACGAGCTGCTGCACGCGCAGCCCGGCGTACGAGATCGCCACGCCGTTCGCGCACGAGGCGGCAACCACCCCCCACTGCCCCAGCGTGAGCCCCCACAGCACGCTGCCCAGCGCGGGCGGCTCGCCGTCCGCCGCGCCCGCGCTCCACGCCTCTCCGAACGCGACGAGGAGGACGCCGTTGATGGCGATGCCGACGGCGTTGTTCAGCAGCATCATCCCCGGCTTGGAGAGGTCGACCGGCTCCTGCGCCAGCAGGTAGCGCTGCAGGATCCGCTCGAGCACCGCAAAGACAATGTTGACGCCGATGGCGGTGAGGCCGACGCGGGAGAACTGGATGTTCGCCGCGTGGTAGATGCCGACGCCGAGGACGATGGTGAGAAGCGAAGCGATCGTCGGCCCGTCCACCTCGATGGGCACGCGGAACACGCGCTCGATGGCGAGGGTGAAGAGCGGCGCAATGTTGCGGAAGACGGCGATGGTGCCGAGAGTGTTGTGCCGCATCGCAAACATGGATGAGACGAGCATCGCGTTGAAGAGCAGCGGCACCGTGCAGCCCCAGCGCAGCGCATCGCGCAACGAGCCAATGTGTATCAGCCGCCAGCCGCACAGCGTCGTCGCAGTCGTGAAGGCCATCTGGATCACGACGAGGGTGACGGGCAGCGGCAGCGCGGTGACGGCGAGCTTGTTGAGAATGCTCATGCCCGCGGACGAAGCGAGGTAGAAGGCGGCGGAGCCGATCAGCCCCAGCGGCATTTTTGGCAGTCGGCGCAGTACCCGGGTACAGGCTGGCGCCGATGCCAGGAGCCCGCCCAAAGCTGGCAAGGTACTCCCACGCCTCTCGGGGTTTTTGTCTGGCCGAGTCAACCCGAGAGGCGTGTCTCGCCTCGTCAAGTCTGTGGGACGGCCGAGCCTCGTTTCAAGGGGCGCGTGCGTGCGTCCCCTCTCGACTACGTTTGTTCACAGCCGGCGCGCGCGCCGGCGACGAATATGCGCGACTCGCCGCCGCGGCTCCGGGCCTCCAACGGCACGACCTACGCCCAACCACCGAGAGGCGCGCCGTCACACCACTCGCACAGCCTGCAGCGCGGCGCTGCGCCAGAGCTCGAGAGGGCCCGAGAAGGGTCCCAGATCTCCAGTAGCACACAATAGCACACGTAGCCACGCATACCCAACCATCCCCTGTCACCCCAGAGCAGATCCCCCCAGGCGGTGAGGTCCTTTCTGGTGCTTGAAGCTCACCCTCGTCCCCTGCCGCAGGCCCTCGGCAGCCGTCCTGGCGCGCGCCAGGGCATGTACCGAGCGACCCCAGCCCGCTCTGGCGCGCGCGTTCGGCGCCGATTGGTGCCCTAGTCGGACCGTGCAACGGACGCGCGCTCTGCGCGCCTCACACGCACTTGCCCAGAGCTCTGCGCAGAGGCAGAGAGAGAGCGCGCCCTCCCCCCGGGCTGCTGCTGGCGCGCCACGCGCGTGCGATCCCTCTCTCGCAGTCGGTGTTCGCCGGGCGAGTTTTAGAGCTAAAATACATGTACATCACAAGACGCACACGCTGCTGTGGTCACCGACGGTCGTGTCCACATGCGCGCAATGGCGCAATGGTGGGCAGCGCCAACGCGCAGGACCATGTTTGCGCGCGACATGCACGCACGGGTGCGCAGGCAGGCGAGGCCATGCCAAAGACTGCCCTGGGAGTCGCGCGCGCGCGTCTCCAGCCGACCGGTACGGCGGCAAGAGCTTGACGGCTGTCGTGCCCGCAGCACGACAGCCGTCAAGCCGCGCAGTCGGGTGGACGCGTCGCGTCGGACTTTTTGCCACCACCTCCACGAGTCTGTCCAGTGCACCCACTGGCCAGATGCCGGGCCTCGGAGGCTGAATCGAGCGCCGAGTCAGGCCGACCTGGCACTGCTGAGGCAGGTCACGCCTGCTGGGGCGAGCCTCGGCGAGACTGCGTCAGCTGTTCCCACAGCAGGCTGGAAGTACCTCGCCAGGCCCAAAGCACAACGATTCAGGCTTGAAGAATTTTACGAAGCGAGCACGGGTCTGGCGTGCACTGGCACTGCAAAAGAATCGGAGACCGCCGGCGTGCCGTTATTTCATCTTCTGCATCTCTCTCTCTGTTGCGCGAGGCGTGAACACCGCGCCATTCGCTCTCACCTGGCAACCCTGTCTGCACGTCGCGCGCCCCGCAGCCGGGCTCACAGCCCTCTCTCGGCATCACAACCGTGTGGCGTGCTCCTGGAGTGGTCACTACCAGGGTGTCGACGAAAGGCGCGGAGTTTCAGGTCGCCGCCGGCAGGTTCCACGCGCATGCAGCGTGCTCGCCTGCCTGCCTGCACCGGCCGTCGGACTCCATGGGTGTTAGATATGTATCCAGTGTATCCAGAACTTGGGTGGATACACAGTGTATCTAGTGTATCTCAACTCTCGGAAGCTGCCTACACACGCGCCCTCTCCGGCTCTCGCTCGCTCATGCCTATCTAGGGGAGAACCAAACTAAGCCATCACAATTGCAGCCGGCGCCGCCGCGGCGAGGGCCGTGGCGGCAGGCGCCGGCGCAGGTGCCGGCGCAGGCACAAGGGCCGTCGCGCCTGCGCCGCGCCGCGCGCGATCCGGGTTCGGGTTGAAGGGCATCGGCGACGGCGATCTCAGGCGAATACCGCTTACATCGACCCCATCACCGGCGAGGAGAAGGACATGGTGTGCGAGGTCGGCAACCTCTACGGCGCACCATCCGCAGGTAACGCTTGGTGGAACAAGGTCAAGTCCATCAACAAGGCGTTTCCTGGGCTTGTTCAGTCCGAGGCGGACCCGAGCTGCTTCACCCTCACCCGCAACAGCACGAAACTCATCGTCGTCATCTACGTGGACGACTTCGGCATCTTCCACTCCGGGACCACCGCTGGCAAGGCGCTCGCGTACGAGTACATCGAGCACTTCAACAAGCACGTCGGCAAGCCGCTCAAGGTCCACGAGGGAAAGGTGCACGAGTTCCTCGGGCTCACCATCACCAAGACGCAGACCGGTTTCAAGCTGTCTGCCAGCAAGTACATCGACATCCGCAGGTAACGCTTGGTGGAACCACGTCAAGTCCATCAACAAGGCGTTTCCTGGGCTCGTTCAGTCCGTGTTGAAGACCGACGACCGCGCAGCCGTCTAGTCTACGGCCACACACACACACATAGTGTCCTTACCACCCCTGGACTGCATCTGCGCAGTTTCGTACCGCTGCGGCGCGGTTTTGCAAAAACCGTTCTGCAGCGGCGCGGTTTTGCCCTTCACCCGCAGCCTGGATTGATAGTCATTGTGGGTGTGGGGGCCGCGGGCCAGGACTTTTGTTTGAACAAAGTTTTGACAGTACATTTCTGTCGGGCCTTGGAACAGCTTGTGAGTGGTCACTGAAGACCTTCACAGTTGGTAGCGGCGGGGCAACGATCCCCGGGACATTACGACAACATGTCGTCGACGGACAAGCTGGTGATTCCGGCCTACAAACAGAGCTCCGAGCGGGAGTTCAACGAGTGGTTCCGCAACCTGCGGACCGCGGCGAAGCAACACAAGTACCTCCTCGACATCATCGAGGTGGGCACCATCCGGCCGGGCGCGGAGCGCGAGGCCGAGGCGGTCGCGCTGCACGTGCGCTACAAGAACATCGGCACTGCGGACGGCCTCATCCCGGCCATCATCGACAAGTACTTCGGGGACCTGGCGGTGACTCTGTCGCGCCAACTCTACGGTGCGCTGCAGAACGCCGTCAAGGACGACGACACGCTGGCCGAGATGTTGGCGGACGAGGACGCCGACCACTACGACGACATCAAGAAGGGCATCGCGGCGATCAAGTCGCTCATCGAGTCGGAGGACACGAACTCCAAGAACGTGCGCACGAAGGCGCTGCGCGCGGATCTCGAGAAGGCGTACTCCCCCGACGCTCTCAAGGACCTCACGTCCGCGAGCCTCGCCAAGTTCAAGTGTTGAAGACCGACGACCGCGCAGCCGTCTAGTCTACGGCCACACACACACACATAGTGTCCTTACCACCCCTGGACTGCATCTGCGCAGTTTCGTACCGCTGCGGCGCGGTTTTGCAAAAACCGTTCTGCAGCGGCGCGGTTTTGCCCTTCACCCGCAGCCTGGATTGATAGTCATTGTGGGTGTGGGGGCCGCGGGCCAGGACTTTTGTTTGAACAAAGTTTTGACAGTACATTTCTGTCGGGCCTTGGAACAGCTTGTGAGTGGTCACTGAAGACCTTCACAGTTGGTGGCGGCGGGGCAACGATCCCCGGGACATTACGACAACATGTCGTCGACGGACAAGCTGGTGATTCCGGCCTACAAACAGGGCTCCGAGCGGGAGTTCAACGAGTGGTCCCGCAACCTGCGGACCGCGGCGAAGCAACACAAGTACCTCCTCGACATCATCGAGGTGGGCACCATCCGGCCGGGCGCGGAGCGCGAGGCCGAGGCGGTCGCGCTGCACGTGCGCTACAAGAACATCGGCACTGCGGACGGCCTCATCCCGGCCATTATCGACAAGTACTTCGGGGACCTGGCGGTGACTCTGTCGCGCCAACTCTACGGTGCGCTGCA